CAGGAATTACACTAAATCTGTTTTGATATGCATTAATTGCTACATATTTTTCCCCCTCAGTAAAGTCAACCTCAGAGGACAGAGGTTTCCATCTGGGTGAATCCACAGCCTGAGAGCCCAAAGCTATTCCCAAGCAGAGGAGACATCAAGTCCAAGCTAAGCAAGCAGGAGCCACACTTGTGTTGTTTGAAGTCCATGTGTACACAGGGCTAAGTTTAAGATTCAGCCAGGACTGCCAGTTCATCTTTGTTCCCAAAGCCTTTTATTCCAATCTCATTACTGCCCAGCACTTATCCAGCCCTATATAAGGAAGGGAACAGTCTCCATGTCAGAGGCTCAGCATTCACTCAGCCCTGTGAAAGGATTAGTGCTGACAGCTTACACACGGCCACACGTTGTTATTGAAATCAGGTGCCCCAGGGCAGGTGCATTTTTGGGCACAGCCCATCGCTTTTACCCCAGTTTCAAGGCCTCATGGCACACTCGCATGACTCCACAGGGATGATTGATCAAGCCAGTTAAATTGCTGCAATTACATGGAACAATCTCAAAATGAAGGACACCCACCCACACCACCTTGTTATGTTGGCCTAAGGTGCTTTCCTGGTTAATTACTGTATGCACACAGCTCTGTGCTTGCCCAAATTAATTGCTCAGCACTCTAAGAAACTCATTGCTGTGCTTCTTCCCACACTGCATTGTGCTGTGCCAGCTGGTCCAGACTGGAGCTCAGGGCCAGGCAACCACCTCGAAACCCTTCCAGGACTTCTCCTCCAACTGGTATGAAGTTGGAGGAGAAAAAACTTACACCCTCAGGACATTTGCAGAGGACACTAAGTTGGGTGTGAGTTGGATCTGCCTGAGGGTAGGAAAGCTCTACCGAGAGACTCATCAATGGGCTGAGGACAACTGCAGGAGGGTCACTCAAGGAGGTCTCTCCTGCTATTGCTGCAGGGCAGGGACTAGAAGGAATGGGCAGATTCAAAGCAGATGTTTGGAAAAATGTTTTCCCCATTAGGGTGTTCAGGTGGTGGAGTCACCATCCCTGGAGCTGTTTAAGAGGCATCTGGATCTGACACTGGAGGATCTGGGTTAGGGTTTAAGGGTTACAGCAGTGACAGGTTAAGGGTTGGACTTGATGATCTTAGAGGTCTATGATCCTATTCACATATTTCCCACCTGCAAGGCCAAGGCCATGCCCTGCTGCAGAGCCTGTTATCCCCTCAGGGTGATGCACACGCATGTGCTGCTCTGTAGACATAAGGACTTGATTCTACCACCCTGCAGAGCTGTCAATAGCAGTGACATGTGCTAAGAGAGAGCAGGAAAATGAAGTGGAGTGATTATTCCCACGCTACATTTATCTCCAGCACTTTGGAAACCCATAGCAGCTCTGCACCAAACAGCACTGACTGATGCAGCGGGAGACAACCACGGAGAAATCAGATTAGCAACAGAACTCAGAGTGGCAAAGGCTTGTTTTTTTATCCCACTCCCCCTAGAAATCCATGCAGATTGCATCCCTGAACTGAGCTGGTATTATTTCATGGGGCTGCTTCCCTTTAGGAAGGATCACCTTGATGCTAGCTCCAAGCTCACCGACCTCCAGAGCAGCCAAGCATCCCTGCCCAGGTCACAGGGGGTTTGGAATGCAGCTGGAGGGGCACAAAGCTGACAGAGCAACACCCTGACACATAAAGTTCAGGGACACAGCACACATGGAGTGGCCAAATTATGGAAGATACAAGGAAAAAACCCAACACCTTTCCCCGCATTGGGCTATGTTGTCTTGAGGAGCATTTACCAAAGTAAATCCCAAATCCTGCAGTTTTCCAGCTGGAAGGATCCTCCTTCTAGAGGCAGAGTTACAGGCTGTACTGGAGTGTTAGACTGATCAAGTTCTTCCTGATGTTTCTGGCATTTACAGCTTTAGCGGTGTCACAATTCTGTCCATCACTTGGAATTCACACTGCGTATCCTCAGCTGAGAAAGTCTTGTGTTAGACACATTAACAGGATGAGAAGTTTTACTCCTTCTTGGCTGTTGCAGAACAGGAGTAGAGAGCACTTGGAGCTCATGGATGGGTTATAGTGCACATGAAAGAATTAATGTCCATCTCTAGTAAATATTCACTGAGTGCATCTACAGGAAACGATGGAGATACCTCAATGGAACCTCATGGATACCTCAAGGGAATGGGGAGTTTTATCTGAAGATTATATATATAGCCAAAAAAACAACCATCAACCAACCATCCAAACTAGTCAAAGCCATGGGATCGCAGGTAGATCTCATCCCTTCAGAGTCCAGGACCAAGCTGTTAACTGGGGAAGGATAATGTATATATTGGAGACAATGTTGTATTGTGAATCAACACATTTAACTTCAGCACAGAAGTTGCTTTGATACAGCACAAGAACACATCAAAGAGCTCCTGCTTCTTCAGGAGAAAGCATAATACAAAACCCCATCACACCAGACCTAACACCCAAACCAGCACAGCCGAGCTGAGCACTTTCTTTGTTTGAGAAGAACCAACCAACACGTTGCAAAGGTTCTTCCTCCCCCAGCACCTGGGGCAGGAGGCAGCTGCTGCCTGTCATGAGCCTTCACCTTGCAACCACAGGGCTGAGAAGTGATTCAAGCTCCTTGTGCTGCTGCCCACGTTCTGCAGAACATCTCCAGGTGCCCTGGCTGTTCCAGAGCCTCCCACCACACCAAGGCCATGGACTTGATCCCCTCCTGCACTAACACAATTCAGAAGATCCTCTTGTCCTTTTTTTATTCAGACACACACACACAAAACCCACACTCTCCTGAGATCTTACAGGCCCAGGAGGTGGAGAAATTAAAGGAATCAGGCTGAGGACAGGAACCCATTGTCCCAGTCCTACCATGCACTGATGATGGGGAGATGTTCTCTCACTATTTGTAAACAGCATTTCAGCTGCTTTCACAACTGCATCTCCTCCCTGTCAGCACAAAAAGCCTCCTGGTTTGATTGCTTTTTCTTCCAGATGAATACACCAATAATTACAAGCACAACTCTGCAAAACAGAGACTTGCTGAAGGTTATTTTCCCGACAAGATTCCAAGGGGAAAGGAAAAGGTCTTGTGTGAAAAGACAACGAGGGAATGAGGCAGAGAGGCAACGCTGCTTGCCACAACAGCCTTTCCACTCCTGCACCATCTGAGTCTGAGGAAAAAATAGTTGCTAGAGGCAGAGGGCAGTTAGACTTTGTAATGAGGATGCTAAAATAGAGCACTATTATTGTCTTGAGATCTTCTCCGACGCCTACGGATGACCCTTGAAGTACACTGAGGAGCTGCCAGAGTTTGGCTGCAGCACTCTAAACACAAGCACTGCACACTTGAGCTCTCTCACACTGCTGCAGCTTCGTCTGAGGTTGCTGCAGCTCTGTTTGAGGCCTTGACTTTACAAACCCTCGAGTTGACAGAAAAGCCAGGACATGAGATAGGTATCTTTTCCGGTGACTTCTCCTCCTCCTGCATCTGTGCCACAAGCAGCTCTGTGCAATCCCTCTGATTACAGAGCCTGGAGGCTTTGCATCTCCTGGGGAAGGAGAATGTGCAATCACAGGTGGCATAGCAGGCAGGAGGAGCAGCTTAGGAAGTGGCATATGGTAATCTCACCCATGGCCAGCAGCTACACTTACTGTTGCAAAACAAACTCGGGTGTTCACCCATGCTCAAAAATTAGAGGGACACCTCCCCATGGCCCTGCCAGGCCCTGAGAGGGGAGCAGAGAGAGGACTGGAGGGCTTAGATCTGCCCCAACCTCTGTCTTCAAGCCCTCCTGGCAGATTTCCTGTGCTTTGACTCAACACCAAGTAATCTCAAGTAATCTTTCACCTCAATTTGTTCCAACAGCCTCTCGTAAGCATCTGCAGCCTGATGACTTTTGCAGATGGACTGAAGAAAGCCTTGTCAGGA